AAAATGTGATTCTGGTCTCTACCCCAATGCCTTCCAGTATGATTAAAAGTTGTATTAAAAGTCAAGAGCAGAGTCTGAGTAAATAGAGACAGGTATTGTTCAGCTACCTATCTGGAAACTGAGTCTATTTTTCTTCCCTAATAGAATATGTAATTATGTTAATTTTGATTCTGGTTTAAGAACCAAGACAGTTTCATGTTCATAAGTGTATAAATGAAAGGCACGTAGAAGTAGTTTTTCCTGAATAAATACTAAGTAGAAAGACTTGCAGTACAACACAAATATTACTTTTGTTTCAAGTCTGACAGCACCCCACACAGAGGTAGCTATATTAGGAAAACAGGGTACAGGGAAGTTTGTTATGATAGGTTGCTTTTACTTCCACTCTATCTGATCAACCCATTTCTGCTTCTGCTTGAAACACTACAAACTTTTTATAATTAATGAAATCATGGGAAAATGTTGCTGATTTCTTAACTTTTTGGTAATTATGTGTTTTCTGAATAAATGATATTTAAAGTATCATATGCTATACAATAATCTCCTCTGATAAAAACTATTATTCCAGGGTTTGGGATAAACAGGCCTCGATCATCCATTCTTCCATAGATGTGTTGAAGAGAGGACTGATTTTGTATACCAAAGAAATGTTTCATAAAGTTAAAGATGACAAGTATCCCCCCCATGTTACCACCCCAAATTATTTTTGTGTAAGTGGCTATTAATCAGAAGAGCTGTCTTGTTTTGAACCCATCACCAGACCCTGGGTAATGTCAGTGTCCCCTCCTATTCTGAGTCTGGCACGGCAAGGAAAGAGGAGCAGACTTGAAAATGGAGGCTGGGGAAAAAGAATTAAGTATTGAGCAAGGACTCAAACTATAAGTAGCATGAGTGCCAGGACAGAATATGAAGGACAGCTAGAGTAACAGAATAAGAAGAGCAAGAGAAATTCCAGAATACAAGAAACAAATATAGGAGGGGCCAATATAACCACTACTTTCTACTATCCACACCAACAACACTACATTGAAATACTGAAAAATACACACTAAAATGTAAATTAAAAAAAAAAAAACAAGCAAACAAACAAACAAAACAGATTAGTTGTGTACTTTCTATTACATGCTCTTCTATCTTTAAGAATTTGAAAGTTGGCCCTCCCTGGTGGCGCAGAGGGTGAAAGCACAGCACTATGAAACTAAAGCCACTTCCACATGAGATTGATCCCCACCTGCCCTGAAGGTAATCCACATGGCGCAGCAGACCTCTCCTGACTGGCCCGCTGCTCCCCTGCTCCCCTTAGTAATGTACTCTGACGATTTGCCTGTTCTGCTCCCCATTCTGTCTCTGGTGAATCCTCTCACTGCCCCTGCACCTCTAGCTTGTACCCCAGTTCTGTATGCACAAATAAATAAATCTTTAAAAAATATATTTGAAAGTTACCATTTCTTCAAATACTACCTTTTTAATTACAAAGTGTGGTTACTGCCTATTCAAAAGAGTACCGATGAAATTTTACACCAATATCCAAAATGACTTTTAAAGCCAATAACATTAATAACATTGAATAAGCTTGTATATTTAAAATAAATTATGATGTTAGAGTAGAACCTGCCTTAAAATGGTCTTTTTTTGTATACAAAAAGCAACTATCTTGAAGAAACCAATAAGAGCAAGGCAGATAAAACTCTAAAGTGAATAAACCTGGAGACCCTGCCTTATACTTCATTTCACCTAAATTGTACGGGCATTCTCTTCTGTTCTGTAAAAGCTGCCACAGTTTTCATCACTGTGATTCACCAAATGCCCATTATTCCTAAATAATCAAGGCATGGTTGAAACAGACAAACTACAGTTCTGGCTCTTGGGAACATATTCCCTAGCATTATACTTTACATGAAGAGTTACGTTAGGGAATTTTTAAATTTTTATGCATGAAAGGAAAGAACATTTAGGGATAATCACAATGCTCTTAACCAAAATTGCCAGATTCTATGAATTCCACCTAGTTAATTGTCAAAAATTTTGGGAAAGGTTCCATACTTAGTGCTTAATGGAAGAATAATGAATAAGTAATAAGAATATATTTCACAAATTCAGTGTTTAGAAATCCACTAGAGAAATTTACAAAGGTAATTTATGAACACTAAAAATTCTGACTCATGAAGAAAAGCCACATGTAAAGTTGTTAGTTATGTGATGTTTTCCTACCCTTTTACAAAGTATACCAAGTTTAAAGTGAATCTGTAGGGGAGAGTTTCTAAATCATTTCAAAGTCAAATGTTTTCTTTTCATCATCATTTATGAGACACATCAGTAACATAACCCCTGCTGAACCACACATCATGTTAAGAGGAATGGAGTCCTGTTTAAACACCTGGATCTCTTTAATAACATCTTCAACATACTCATAAGTAACCACAGAGTTTCTGATTATTAAAATGGGAATTATGATCCCAAGCAAAGCTCCAGATGAGTACCTCCTGTGACCATTGGAGGTTTGCAGTTTGGAAATCACCAAATAATAAGAGGGTGGGTTGAGAAGGCATTTCCACTAGCAGCACTTATTGCTATTTGGACAAGGAACTGAACCTCTCTGAACTTAACACTTTTTGTTCTTGAAAGGGGGATGCAGCCTACTTCAAGTGGGATTGTAGCGTCACCACCACTGCCAACAGCAGAAGCAGCAAATAGCAGTAGTAGCAGCAGCAACAACAGCAACAGAAAAAAATAGCAGTATAACTTTCAGTTTCTGAACCTGCAGGTTCTGTTGTGAACTGAAAGCAACATGATGTGCTAAGCACACCATTGTTTGTAGATATAGAAGTTGAGGCTAAGAGACAAGAACTTACATAAAGCTACACAGATGTGAACACCAATTACTCTGACTCCAGAGGCTATGGTATGATTTACATCTCAAAATGCCATCCCATGTGTCACACAATGAGGTTATGCAGTTGACTACATATTAAAGATGGCAAAGCACTCCAGTAATACAGTGAAAATGTGTTATTACTGCAAAAATTTTAAGTTGTTAAAATGCCGCTGAATACATAATGTTATTCTTAGCAAGTGCCTATCAACTCAAGAAAATAAGGAAAAGGCATGAATGAATGCACAACTTGAGACAAAAGACAAAGAAGAAAATATATAGAGAATAACTTTAAAATAAATGTGACAGGTGGTAATATCATTTTGTGCATTTGCACATTCACACACATCTGTGTAGTTCCAACCCACAAACATCAAGTTTCTCAAGGCGCCAATGGAAGTTGCTTCAATCTTCAAAAAACAGTAGATTTGTTGTTTGGGGGTCATGACTCCCCAAGCCCATACTGACAATTTGGCAGGTTGCTCACAGGTTATTAGAGATGCAGGACAAACATGCTGGTTGCAAAAAGACTATGGCAAAGCCTCCCAGGGATAACAAAGAACAGCAAGTTAGCAAAGCTGAGTGTCAATATGCTATGTTATCCTCCTCCAAAATCAACTATTGTGAATTGGAAAGCTAACAAGGCATATCAACTACACTGTCATAATTCCTCTAAGCATTTAAAACAGGAGGAAAAAATATTCACCAAGGACAGGTAAAATGAATTATAGCTAAATTCACATGTTGTTTAGTTGCAAACATTTTCCCAGGAATAGCTCCAATCTTGAGTGAAAGGAACAAAGGAGAAAAAAATGATCTCTGTACCTCTTCTTCTATATTTCTACATTACTGGGATTTTCCTCACTCCTCCCAGGCCTTCCACTGCCTTTAATTCATACCAACTCAGGTAGCAAGATAAGACCCCAAATGTTCATGACCACACCCCCCTCCCCACCACCACCTTTACTTTGTCACTGCTCTTTGTTTCTTCTAGAAGAAAAGGGATTAAGCCCCAAAGTCAGATCATGTAGTTTCATACATTAAATACTACATGATCTCAGGAAATACTTTTATATCACTTCTTTTCCATAGATGATCTCACCTTCATCCTAAATAAGTGCAGAGCACAATCCATACAACCACACTTAGCATCTCTGTACACAGGTCCAGAACCAGCACATGCATAAAGAGCTTTATTCATTCATCTATTAATTTACTCATTCCCCTCAGTAAACAATTATTGTGTCTGGAATGCACCAGATATTAATGGGTCCTGGGCAAATAATAGTGCATAATCCCTGACCTCAAGGAATTCATAATCTAAACATATATTAACAATGAGTACTATTATGAAGTAAAGGATGCAGGAGGAAATTCATATGTAGTCTTGGCATGAGGAGAGGAAGAGTGAACTTACCACATTTGGGTTGATCTTATGTCGAAAGCATGTAATGTTCACCACATATGGCCAATCATCAGGTTCCATTAGCACCCCAGCAGCATGAGCGCATGTGACATGGAAGGAGGCTGGACAACGGCCATAGGAACACTGGATGCAGGCTCCAGAGACCTTCTTAACCCGGTGTCTACAAAAGATGCATTTCTGCAAAGAAAAGTATCACTTAAAACTCTATAACTCAGACAATTTCCCTATTTCACAGAGTAATAGCTATCAGAGATTGGGACGGCGGAGGGGGAGTGGGGGAGACCAGTTACATCAGTCAGTCCTACAGCCCTACTGGTACAAATGAAAGTAGCAATATAAGTTGAATACATTTAAGGAAACACACCACTACCATCACATACTACCAGACTTAGTTGAAACAGACTTGTGGTTAGGAAAGGAATCCTTTTGCACATGCTTCTCCAGGCACAGAGCCCAGGACAAGGCCCAGTGGGTCTTCCTGGAAATCACCCTTGAAAACTTAGGACACTTCTGTTTTACTCCTGCATGCTAGGCCTTTGTGTACATCAAGAAAGAAAATGTGAGTTGGAAGATAGGCACTGGCTCTCCTATATTAGAGGAGGTCCTAAAAATACCTAAATAATAGTCAGATGTACTAAGCTTTCCATTTACAAGGAAATATAAAGTATTAAATGGTGCAAGTGCAATATACGGGCTCAAGTGTTTAATAAACCAAATCTAAACCCTTCATGAATGACAGAAAAATATGTCACCCAAAGTGAGAAAATTAAAAATCACCCCAAAGGGCATAATTTTGTTGAATATCTATAGCTGACTGTGCCTGGGGAGAGAGAATAAAAATAAAAACAGCAATAATGATTACCACAATCTGAAAATTAAATTGCATCCAATTAGCCCCAAACATTATCAGTACGTTTGTTATGAGATGGGAAAAACCAAATAGCTTCACTGAATGTCAGATTTTTGAACTATTACTTGAGGGTTAAGGGGAAAACTAGAGTAGAATAACACAGGGTAGGGTTTAGAATGCAGAAGAAACAGAAAAATCAAAAAGCTAGACATTTCATTCTCACAGATTAAAAAAAAGGTTTGTGAGCTGGTCAAATAAATTTCAGTATAACCATTTTCTTTTATAGGTGCATTTTCCTTCCAGGGACAAAAAAATGTCTGTAAACCAAATGTCTTTTGGTCACTATAATATTTTATCACACACTTGTAAGAATCAACATGTACTTAACTTGTAACTCTTCTTTCCCCTCACATTGCATTGGGAACTAATTCAATGTTATAAATTTGTATCTTAATCTTGCTCTGATTACTCCCTACCCATCTATTCCAACTCCCATTGCCTCTGCCCATGGTGACTTGCCCAGCTTAGTTATGGCGGTGGTCTCACCATCTTTTATTTCATTCCAGCCAATCCATCTTCCCCAGGACTGCCAGAGTGATTTCTTTAAAACATAAACACCATGTCACCCCCATGCTTCATGTTATTCGATGAATTCTCCTCATCTCTAAGAAATTCCAGGGAAAAAGAACAGCATGAGCTGGAAGAGGACGCTTATAAAATCCCAGTCATGGTCTACAGAACAATCTTATATTTATTTAGTCTTCATAAGGACACTAGACACGGGGTATTTATCAGAACTTGCTACATCTGAGTGAAATGTACACTTAAGCATTTGTAAGTAGAGACTAGGATGTGGCTTAGTGAATTAAGAAATGAGAGATAGAAAGATAAAAACTAAACCCTGAATGAAAGCATTATGCATTATCTTGTTATTGTTTTGGCAATTCTTGGTATCAATTTTTACATTCTTAGATTACTAAGAATCTAAGTAATCTCAGATTACTAAGAACTACTAAGTATTTGACATCTCTTTGTCAATTCCAATTATTTAAGATACAAAAGCAGATATAATAGTAAAACCTTATGTCAAGAGTCCCAGGCATGCTTAGCCAACCTTTTAATAGCCTAATAATACAGGGTTTGAATAGGTCCAGAAATTGACAGATGTATCAAAGGAGAAATTATTTCTTATTTTCCTAATTAAATTGTATTTTTATGAGTAGAAGTCTTACGACTTCATTTATGAATTAGCATCTCCCTGCTGCTACCATCATTAAACACATACTCTCCAGAATGGGAGAAGACAGCTAGAGAAAATATACTTCCAGTAAGGATTAAATTCTTGGAATCTTGTAAAAGAAGTGCTCTCCTTTACCAGAAAGTCCAAACACAGTCATTTCTAAGTATAGAAAGTATTCTTACATAGTTAACCAAACTGCATATTAGTATAGATCAAAGTTTTGAAAATGTATTCACAACATTTAGAAAATTGACCTAAACATTAATAGGTTCTTACAGAGATAGAAAGTATCACAAAACTAAAAGGTGGCCCTCCCTGGTGGTACATCGGGTAAGCATGCAGCACTGCAAGCTAGCCACAGCCTCTTCAGTGGGAGTTCGATCCCAGGCCCTGGAGGTGATCCATATGGTGTGGCAGACCTCTCCTGACCTGCCTGCTGCTTCCCTCATCAGTGTACTTTGTTGATCTGCCTGTTCTGTTCTCCACTTGTCTCTGGTTAATACTCTCACCTCCCCTGAACCTCTGTATGCATAAATAAACAAATTTTTAAAAGAAACCTAGAAGATGAGTTGTTCTGTATCTTACAGTACAGTCTTCATTTTATATATAAACCCCATTTTCAGGTACTTGCTACTATCTCAATTTTTCTCTATGCTGTCTGAAATATCAGTTTGGCAAAGACTAGAAAAAATAAGATAGTTCTTAAGAATGTTAACATGGAAGAAGCACTATGAAATAAACAAGGGCAAAATGATACAGAGGGAACAGTATGTCCTGAATGAACTCTACTCACTGACGTTTTATGGACTCCACCCTCACCTCCATGTCAAAGAGAACTGAGGCATCCAAGAATACAACTCCCATCATGCCATGAATATGCACGATTCTAAACTTCCTGAAGGGAGGGTTGCTGGGAAGCAAAGGTGGAGTTATGAAACCATGCTTGATATAAAACTGAACACTTTGGGCTTGTGCTCTCTTAGTTTTACCTGCTTCCAGCATGCACCTGAGGTCACAGTTCAGATAGTATTACCAGTATGCTATATTGGCCAATTAATCTCTCTTTCCATGTCCTCCCTCTTCTTGTTTCCCTGTAAATAACCCCTTTTTATTAACTTTTCCCTGTGTGCCTGCCCTTCAGTACTGTCCTGAGTTCTTAAGTTCATAGTGAGGAGTCACACACAAGTCTCTCTGATTCCCCTCGGTGTTACCCTATAACAGAGCTTGAATCATTAATCCAATGAGTTAAGCCTGGTGCAATAGGGGGAAGAAGGCTTAAAAGAAATACAAAGTGTGACTGGATCAATTATGGTGGACTCAGTCCCTGTAACTATATCTTCAACACCAAGCCCTAAATAAATACATAGGAAAAATAATGAAACCAAAATTGCACTAGCAAACAAGAACGGGTACATCAAATTCCAAGGATAGATCTCTGGAAAAAAGTTATTAATAAATATCTGAGGGGGAAATTCTGACAAGATCAGTATCAACAGAAGTGAATCCTTAAACACAAGCTACCTCAAAAACCCCGTGTACTGTCCTATCTCCCATCATGACCAATAGGTGAGAATTCAGATTTGATCTGAATTCTAGTCCTGTGAGCTCATCTAATGACATACCAACAAAACCAGTGGGTTCTTATTTGGATGAAAGAAAGAACAAGCACTCAAGACATGCACCTAAATTATAAACAGACACATTAGAGGGAAAACAATCTCATAAAAGAAAGGTGTAGAATTAATTATACATATATAATTAATAAAGAAAAGAACAGATGACCTAAGGAATCAGGTATAAGAAAACAGAATATATGAGTTTAAAAGAATTATAGTATATAATATGATAGGTTCCAATATAGCCCATCAACTAGTAATTAAAGAAAACAATAACAGTTACAAAATCAACTCTAAGAATTCTAAAATATTATTATAAGGAAAAACCCCATGATGTGCTAAATATTGGAATGAATGTACTAAAAATCAAATTAGCAAGTGGAAGTAGAAACCAGAGATTGTATATACACTGAGGAAAATGTCAATAAAACAAGGGAACACAAATATTAATAAACAGCTTGCGAAAGCAATTCAGATGTATCTAAAAGGCACTCAAAGGAAAAAAAAAATGAACAGAAATTTTCAGAATGAAAAAAGTTCCAGTTAGTAGAATTAATTTTTTAATTACCTTACACAAATCCTAGACACATCTTAACCTCCAAATGAAAACATAAAATCACAAATCACTTCCAGAGAAGAGAAAAATCAGATTACCATCAAATCTCTAATCTGCAATAGTGAATGCTTAAAAACAGTCTTCAAACTTCTGAATGAAAATTAAATTTGGTCTATATCCAATCTAATTATCATTCGAATTTGAAGGCAAGCAAACTTTTTGTTTATTTCTTTTTCATATTCAAGGATCAGAAATATGCACGTAGAGCAACCCAAATACTAACTATGGATAAATCTAAATGAATACTGACTTTACAAATAGTAATAGTACTATTTCCTGGGTTTTAAATAAAGAGAAAATTTAAAGAGATGACAACAGTAGCACAAAAAACACAAGCTTAAAAACTAACCTATCAAAGCTGAATATAGAACTGAAGCACCCAGAGGTTAAAGGAAAGGTAAGAACAAAGAGGAGAGGAAGTACAATCAACTATAGTACAGGACTGTAGGTGATTTGGTGTTGGGTGCACTAAAGTGGCAATCCATGATGTTGGTATCCAAATACGCTTCAAGTAAATATTGATTAGTTAAAAAAATAAAAATGCTTTGACATTCTTGAATTATCTGGGAAAGGGCAAAAATACCCATTAACTAATAAGTATGAAAAACAGAGTAAGAAAAATAATAAAGTTTAAACAAACACATGAAAGGACAATACTAGAAAGACTGACTAGGTGGGAGTCAAGGGAAAGCACATTATAAACTGTTTCAACTAAACCCAAACATGTCAAACAGCATGTGTAAACATACGTAACTTCAGCTTTAGCTTGTGGTCTTACGGTAGCAAACTTTTCCTTAAAGTGCCAGATAATAATTATTTTAGGCTATAGCTACATACTGGCAGTTGTACTTACTC